CATGATCATTCATGCTGGAACGATTACTTTTCTTCTGTGCAAAACGTCCCTTCCCTGCCCACATCCAGAATACTGGCCATAATTCTCAATAGCTATAATAGAATGTCAACACTAAACTGCTCATATGATTTCCAAAATTTATAGATTTGCTTTAATACAACAATATAAAATATTCATATCACAGGCCCTTGTCAGGTAGTAAAACTTGAAAGTGTCTCTCCTATCTAGTCCCTAATAAATATCCAGCTGGTATTTAGGACAGGGTATATTAAGCTCTATCACCGAATTGAATTAGATTACTGGAAAGCTATATACTTGAAAATACTAGCCTGACCAAAGGTTAATCTGTTTTCTGGCCCAAATTATCTTAGGAATAGGACATATCCCTGCTGGTAGCACAGCCCATAACATCCTTCAACATCCTATATGTAAATTAAATAGTAATGGCACTATTTTTTAACTGGGAAGGGAGGAATCAAGACATACCCAATGAACGTGCATTTCTATGTGTGTGTGCATGTGCGTGAATGCACGCATGTGTGTTTACGAACAATGGAGGAAGAAGAGAGATAAATAAGATTCCTAATTGAAAATCTGTCTTCCAGGTGATTCTACCACAAAGGAAGAAGTCTCTTTTGAGCAGCACTGGCATGGACCATCACAGAATCACCATCAATAAGTTAGCTCATGCCCTTAAATTTGTTGACAATATAATAGAAACATCAACTGTGAAACTCATCCCAGGAACTCAGCTCACAATGTCCTTCAACACCCTATGTGTAAAGTCTTGCAAGGTAGCTTTCAGGATTTCAGAACATGAAAAATTCCTCTGAGGCAAGATGGTATTCTTCTACTTTCCAGTTATGATAGCTATGAAAAATTGTGCCCATTTTTACCTTGACTGACAGAAGGTTTACAACTGTTGACATTTTCCCTAAAATCTAAAATGTATCTTTTTCTTCTGAGTTTTTTGCCTGAATTTGAATCTTATCACCGACATTTATTGGCTAGGTGACCTTGGCTGACTTTTTAAACTTCCTCTGTGCCTCAAATTTCTGCATCTATAAAGTGTAGTTAACAACACCTACCTCTTAGGGTCATTCTGAGAACTATATAAGATAACACAGGTAAGGTGCCTGCTGCCTAGTGAGAATACCAGAATGATTAGCTGTTAATAGCCATTTCTGTTTTATTTGGAATATTTGTATGGTAAAAGCCACCTCTGATTTTTTTAAAAACAGGTAAGTTACAAAGAAGTACTTCTGGTTACAAGCCTCCACACAAATAAGATATTCACATCAGAAAATGAAACTACCCCATGCACCCTGCACTGCTAAGACAGATTATACCTAGAGTGGAGTATTTGTTCCACGCAATCTGCCATTCTTTAAGACACATCTAAAACTAAATTCATTTATTTACTTGTTCTCCCCATAAGTAATTGAACCTAAAACTCAATATGTCAGAAACTACACTCATTATGTCCCCTACCAACCCCCAATCGAGTCCTCCTTCCCTTCTTACTGAACAGCTCCAACCATCCTCAAACCCAGGCCTTAATTCTTGATATCTGTCATTCTTCATGTCCAATTATTCATCAGATTGAGTCTGCCTCCTTCCTCACTCTCTCTTCAATCGTTCGCTTTTCGATTTCCACTGCCACAACCTTACTCAAGGCTACTTTTGTGCTTTGGGTGCACAGCCCTACTCAAGTCCCCTCTCATCCCATTCCAACCATCAACCAAAGTGACCTTTCTAAAGACAAAACTGGTCGTCTCACATCCTTGCTTCAGCCTATCAACAGTTTGCCATTTTTCTTAGCAAAAAGGAAATGTCCCAAACCTTAACATATAGGCTTAATGGGCCCTGCATGATCTGAGCCTCATTAATACCCAGCCTTTCCCCTAGCCTAATCTCATTCTCCCCTTACTAACCCACGCCAGGCTTCTTTCCAGTTTTTAACCAGACAGCTGCTCCAGTCTCAGGGCCTCGTGTATGTGCTTCCCATATCCCATCGCCCAGCCAAAGTCCACTCACACATGAGGTGTCTGCTTAAGCAGAGTCTTCCTGTTAGCATCCTGACTTTCTCCTGCAGAGTAGTAATCAACATTCACTAACTGCAGAATTAGCTTTTCCACTCTGCCTCTTCAACTAAAACATAAGCAGGGACACCTCTGAGGGCAGGGTCTAGGTTTTCACTGTTTACAGTTAGAGCCTCAGCAGTGAGCACGCTGGTTTATACACAGGTAGTGGGATTATTTTTAATTGTAGTAAAAAACACATAACATAAACCTTGCCATTTTAACCATTTATTAATGTACAGTTGAGTAGTGTAAACCATATTCTCATTGATCAATAGATCTCTAGAACTTTTACATCTTGCAAAACTGAAACTCTACCCATTAAACAATTCCCCAACTCCCCCTCCCCCAGCCCCTAGCAACCACCATTCTACTCTCTGTTTCTATGAGTCTGACTACTTTAGATACCTCATATAAGTGGAATGCTATAGTGCTTGTCTTTTAGTGACTTCCTTAATTCACTTAACGTGGTGTCCTCTAGGTTAATCCATGATATAACATGTGACAGGATTTCCTTCTTTCTCAGGGCTGAGTATGTATTGATATGTACATACATATTCCATTGTATGTATACACCACATTTTCTTTATTCACCCATTAATGTTGCTTCCATCTCTTGGCTGTTATGAATAATGCTGCAATAAACATGGGTAAACAAACATCTCTTCAAGATCTTGCTTTCAATTATTTTGTATATATACTCAGAAGTGGGATTGTTAGATCATGTAGTAGTTCTTTTTTTTTTTTTTTTTGAGATGGAGTTTCACTCTTGTTGCCCAGACTGGAGTGCACTGCCGCGATTTCAGCTCACTGCAACCTCCACCTCCCGGGTTCAAGTGATTCACCTGCCTCAGCAACCCAAGTAGCTGGGACTACAGGCGCGTGCCACCATGCCCAACTAATTTTTGTATTTTTAATAGTAGAGACGGGGTTTCACCTTGTTGGCCAGGCTGATCTCGAACTCCCGACCTCGTGATCTGTCCGCCTCAGTCTCCCAAAGTGCGGGGATTACAGGTGTGAGCCATCGTGCCCAGCCAGTAGTTCTATTTTTAATTTTCTGTGGAACTTCCACACTGTTTTCCAGAGTGGTTGCATCAGTTTACCTTCCTAACCATAGCACACAGCATCTCCAGTCTCTCCACATCCTTGCCAACACTTGCTATTTTCTATTTTCATGAGAACGGACATCCTTATAGGTGTGATATGACACACAGGTAATAGATAGCAGCTAACGTCTACATATACCGAGGCTATACAGATAAGTAAGGCATGGCATCTACCCTCGAGGAATTCATAGAATGGGGAGAAAGAGTAACAAACAAGGTGTGTACTAAATGTATACATGACAGACAGAGGGAATTGCCAACTCCCACATCCAGCAGGCAGTTAAGTAGATGAGTCTGAGATTCAGCGAAAGCTACGAAGTAGACACATAAATTGAGAGTTGTCAAAATAAAAAAAATAGTATATCCTACTATCTAAATACTACTCTTTCTTATGCAAAACTAGTATTTCAAAAATATCAGGTTTCTTTTCTTTTCCTTTTCTTCTTTTGAGACGGAGTCTCGCTGTGTCGCCCAGGCTGGAGTGCAGTGGCGTGATCTTGGCTCACTACAACCTCTGCCTCCTGGGTTCAAGCGATTCTCCTGCCTCAGCCTCCCGAGTACCTGGGATTACAAGCGGCCACCACCATGCCCAGCTAATTTTTGTATTTTTAGTAGAGACTGGGTTTCACCATGTTAGCCAGGCTGGTCTTGAACTCCTGGCCTCAAGTGATCCGCCGGCCTCGGCCTCCCAAAGTGCTGGGATTATAGGCATAAGCCACCACGCTCAGCCCAGATTTCTTAATGTAGTATATCCTATGCCTACTAATAGAACATGTGATTCCACATATTGTACAACATACTCAATTGTCCCTCTACTTTACAAAGATTATATTACATGCTCCTATGAATCTACCAGTATGTAATCTCAAAAAAAGTAGGTAATCCTAGCCAAATTCCCACCACTTTCTCTTTTGCAGCTTTTAGGAAACATTATCAAGACCACCTTATAATTTATAGTCTAAAAAACCTAATTTATTTAGTCAAATGTGCTATTATGTCTGAGAACAGTACTCTAAACAGAGTTCTATTAAGAATATTCAAGTACTATTCAGCAGGCACGCATGCAATTTAATTGTCTTTAGTCTAAACATGGAATTAAACCACAAATTAGATACCAAGTATTTAAAGCTAAGCAAGTTGAGAAAACTTAAAGTATATATAATTATCACTCTTACTATCCTATATTTCATTAGTAGGACATGTAAATACTAACAATGATAGCAACGTAGGCAAATAAAATTCACACTTCTGTTCTTCTGTTGATTGCTCTGTTCTCCTGACTGTGATCTGAATGTTAGATCACGGAGAGTAATCTCTTTCACTGTGACCAAGTGTTCTTGGTATCCTCAGACAGAATCGTTCCAATGCGCTGCCTTCCCTGTTTTTTGGGTATGCTTTAATATCTAGCATACAGGTGACTGCACAATATGAGCTGCTGTGGCCAGCTTCTTTACTTAGTACCAAAAGGCGAGATTGAGTGATTGAGAACCAAAAGTGATTAATACCATTTAGTCTGTGTTCTCTTTATGCCAGAACATCAATTTTCCACTGATGACATTCTATTCTGTCTGCGCATGATGGCAGTGCAAAGCACATACACACGTGCACGCACATGCACAAATACACACACACCAAAAAGCTACAGGTGGTTTCTCTCTACACAAGATAGTTTTTCAGTTTTTACCAAATTTCACAGTGAAGTCATAATAAACACCTAAGTCATCTTAAACCTAAATTTTAAACTGAGATAAACTGGTTAATAAAAAAATACATTATGTTCTAAAAAGAGACAAATAAATTTGAAATCACTTACTTTCTGCTCAGGGCTTTCCTGGAACAAAAGTCCAAAGTAGTCCTTCTCCAAGAGATTGAGGTGTTCACACACTTTGTCAAATAACACTTGTCCCTTAGCACGTTTCTGGAGAAAAAATAACAACTTTACCTTTCAAGTACTAAAGATTCCAAGACTGCTATAAATATAAGACATCGTATCAGATACATGATTTATTATAAATTCACATGAAATATTTGTTTTCTCATTTTTTAACAATATAAAAATGATTAATTTTTTAACTTCACCCCTCCCACCCTGCACATATAGACAAAGCATAAAATGTGAAACAAAAGCATAAGCAAGCACCGTCTGCTTTACTGCTACTCGATATGGATATAAAAAGGACTAAAAACGCAAAATGTTAGCTGTTCATTTTCTTATTTGAAAAATGTTCAAACTGCTTCCATCAATTCCTCAAGGTGGCTCATATCTATAAAGTCTACTACTCCCCAGGAAAATCATTTAGCCCTATTATTCAGTAGATCCTAACATAATTTATCCTATCAGCACTTCGGTTTAATGTTTGAGTTTTTGTTCCATGATATGTGTGGAATAGAATTACTTTTTCTGTACGAGCTATGCTCCTATTTACAATTTCCTAGAGAACGATATGGTGTTCGCTCCTTAGGATAAATTCTAAAAATACAAGATAATGGAAGTGGGACAAGAAATCAACTGCCTCTAAGGACTTAACATATTTTTACCTCGAATATATATATATACACACATATATTTTAATTTAAGAAGCTGCTGTGAACAGAGATGTAAGAGCCTTTGACAGGCATAGAAGAAAAGCTCATTGTCTAATCAATGGCAAAACATAAGCAGAGTGGTGACTCATTTCCAATTAAGATGCACACCCCTGGAACAACCCAACTGTGAGGTCAGGTCAGACACACGCCTCCTCCCCAGATGCACTGATAAAAGCCACCAATGGACTGCTAGTGAAAAAGAAAAAGCCATCAGACTTTTCCATCCTCAAAACAAATGCCCTCTCATTATCAAAATGTGTACTAGTTCACCCAGTGTGTGAAAATTAATGTTCCCCACATATATATCTTGAGGAGGAGAATCTGGTACTTTTGTTATTAAGCCTCTTATGGTAACATTTCTGAAAAGAATAGAATTGCATCAAATTGTAAAGGGAAGAAGGAGAATGCCACACAGATTACATTATTTCAACATAATAAGCAGTGTAAGGCCAGGCGTGGTAGCTCACGCCTGTAATCCCAGCACTTTGGGAGGCTGAGGCAGGCATATTACTTGAGCTCAGGAGTTTGAGATCAGCCTGGGCAACATGGTGAAACTTCATCTCTACAAAAAATACAAACATTAGCCAGGTGTGGTGGCGTGTGCTTGTAGTCTCAGCTACTCAGGAAGCTAGGGTGAAAGGATTGCTTAAGCCTGGGAGGCTGAGGCTGCAGTGAGCTGTGTTCACGCCACTGCAATCCAGGCTTGGTGACAGTGAGACCCTGTCTCAATAAATAAGTACATAAATAATAAAAAATTTAAAAATAAAGCAATGTGCCATATACATATTATAGGTTCACAATCAGGATTTAATAGTCAATTAAATTACTGAGCATGTTTAAGATGGATATGTGCTTGTTTGTCTATATATTAAAAGTATATACAAATACAGTGTAGAGAATAAGAGTATTGGGCTCTGTATGTCAAACACCAAAGTTCTAAATACACTTTCACCACCTACAAGCTATGTGACCCATGGCAAGACACTTAATGTCTGCTTACCTTAATCTGCACATCTGTGAAATGGGGATAACAGGTAGCAGATACTACAGGAGGTGTGGTGAGTACTAAAAGAGTTTCAGTACATAACAGTTGGTTATCATGTTATTTGAAATTAGGGTAAAAAGGATATTTAAGACAACTGACGTCTACAACGATACACCTCGGTTCAAGGAGAAAACACATTGCAATTCCAACACTAGCTTTAAGTCAATTCTTATTAATAATTCACACGTTCTCATTGGTTTCCATTTCAAAAACAGGAACATGCCCTCATGCACAGAATTTCCCTACAAGAATAAGAGGAAAAAACACCCACACAGCTCACCACTACAATTTGGTGTTGGTATGCAGTACGTGAGGTATCAGCATGATGGCTGGACCAGTTCCTCTATCGGACCTAGTTCCTCTATCATTCAACATTTTGTAAGCATTTACTATTACTGAACCAGTGTGACAACAGAAAACCACTTAGTCTCTTTGTCTGTAAAATGAGGATAATAACTACCCCAGAGCTCACATGAGAATAAAATTAACCCAGTGAGATGGAATACGCCTCAACCAACCATAGCAGTACTCTACTGTCAACTATTCCTTCACTAGTCCACATCTAACAAACACCAAAATGTTTTTGGATGCTAAGCCTGCTTCTCTACTATTCTTTCCTTCTGTCTCCAGGAAACAGATATTCTCAATGCTTCATGAGATCCTGACTGCACATACACGTTACTTAAGCTTCCATCTGCCTCTCCACCCTCAATGAACTCAAAATCTGGAAGAAAAAGCAAAAATGCAACAACACCATGAAGCACATGTTGAGAGAGTGATGTACAAAGTGCAATTGGAACACCAGGAATGAAATGAGTAAATGTGACTAACAGAAATCACAGCTTCACCAAGAATATGATATTTGAAGTGAATCTTCGAGGAGGAAATGATTTTTTGAGGTAGAGAAAACAGATATTCAAAATAACTTACTTTTTACTTTGGATGTATGTTTATAGAGCTTACTTTTTACTTTAGATGTTTCCAGAGACTGAGTCAATTTCTGTTCAAAAGATACTGGAGGATACAGTAAAATGAAAAAAAGGAAGCCATCTAGAATAAACAAGCCATGCGATATGACTGCTGGTTACCCTGTCTGACTCTCAGATGACTGTGAGGGCTTGCCAAGCTAACACTCAATCTATATTGACCCATATGTGTCAACTCCTATGTTAAGATACCGGGGAATCAATGATGAGCACGACAAACATGGTCTTAGGAAATTTATATGCAACTGGCAGAGAAACAGAATGAACAGGAAGCCAAAAATAAAGCATTATGTATCTACCAATTTGGACATAATTAGGTACTTGGCCAAACTGGCTCAAAGAAAAGTGACCAGTGGCCTATGAGATAGCCTGATACAAGAGCTCTGCACAATGACAATGTTTTGCTCTGGGGATAAGGAATAGCAGATACAATCATGACTTCCCTCAGGCAGATTAAATATAAGACACACACACACACACACACACACACACACACACACACACACACGGTCATAAAGTGGTGTAAACACAGTAGGAAAGACAGCGAGAAGGGCAATTAGCAGAAGCCAAGAGTTTCAGGAGGCCAACCTATATTTGCCAAAGTTATTTTCCACTGGTCCCACTTGTCCCATGAGTTATATACACCCCTCATTCCCAAAAAGAGCAACAGAGTGGGACAAGAAAAAATCTGCCTGTTGCATATCATTACTGAGCATCAAAACACCTATTTGTATAACAGACACCCTGAGGAGTTCTGCAATGCAAAAACCCTGTTTCCCATTATTTCTTTCACTTGGGAAACCTGATGTTTCCCAAAACTATTTAGCAAAAGAGCCCACTATTTTTTAATACATTTACTAATGTATTCTACAACAGAATTACTGTTTTAATGACCACACCTCAAGAAATGAGGTAGGAAAGAATTACAGGTTGAGCATCCCAAATCCAAAAACCAAAAATACTAAATACTCCAAAATCCGAAATTTTTTCAACGCCAACATTATGCTCAAAGAAAATGCTCATTGGAGCGTTTCAGATTTCCAATTTCTTGATTTGGAGTGTTCGAGTATTACAAAATCTGAATAAAACTTGAAATACAAAACATTTCTGGTCCCAAGCATTTCAGATAAAAGATACTCAACCTGTACCACCATCTGACTCTAACGCAGATGTAGACACTGGTACTCATATCTGTTTGATTCAAAAATGCCAAAAGAGAATCCAGTTTAAACTGGTCCAAGATTAGATGTGCCCAGCTGCCTGGGAGAAGCAAGAAATTCTCATAAACAAAAATCTCAAAAAACATACATTAAAAATCACAAAACCACAAGGAAACCAGACACCATTATTGAGAGACACAGTATCAGAATCAGATCTTCAGAGACTGCACATAATAGAATTATCAGGTACAAAACACAAAATATATATGTTTTATGTGTTTATAAGAAATATTTTAAAATATGACTAAGGAAAAAGTGACTATGGAAAAGCAGTTTTTGAAAATAATCAAATAAAACACCTAGAAATGAAAACGATATGTAACGAAATTACAATCCAAATGGATAGGATATGACAAAGCTGAAGAGAAAACCAGTGAACTGGAAGACAGATCTGAAAAAAACTGTCCAGAATGTGGCTGAAAAAGACAAAGGGAAGGACAATATGAAAGAACTTCACAGACATGGAGAACAGAATGAGGGGTCTACAAATATCTCATCAGAATCCTAGATGGAGACGAGAGAGAATAAGGGAAAGGCAATATTAAAAGAAACAATGCTATAAAACTTCAAATTAAGAAAGCTCAATGAATCCCTAGCAAAATTAATAAAATTTATTAATCCACAATGATTTTATTCTACTAATTTATTATTTATACTCAACACATAAATGGTTCTAACATGCATTTTTTTAAATAGCTATAATAAAGTCATCAAGACAAGAGGGAATGAAACATAAACTAGGGAATAAAAAGAAGGACTGAGAAGGAAAATTGTAACAAAAAAACACAGAAAAGTCACTTCTAAGAAACCTAAAACAGATGTGCTTTGGAGGCTTATTCAAAAACGCAAACAAAATAAGTAGCACATTTCTTCTTATATTCTAAAAAGCATCAGATTATCAGGTGACACACATTAAATGCTACATATGAATGTTCCAAGTTACAACATTTATAGCACTAATGTGCAATCAAACTCGATTGGATCGGCTCAGACAGCAACATCATCTAGTTAGTGGCTCACAACTTTGTCTTGACATTGTTCACAAGACACTCCATAAATAGTAATTCCCTTTGGGGTGGGG